TTTCAGTTTCTGATTGTTGATGTATATTGGTTTACATTTATACATTTGATCTTGAGCTAATTGGTTGTTCTCCTCCTAACAGGGAGGCTTTGGTATGAGGTTTCAAACGTGCCAACACTTAGAGAGGTTAAAAGGAGAACTTGTCAATTACCATATCAAGTATTTATGGAAAATCGTCTCAGATGAAAAATAGACAAGAACGAAGACATAGGCTTAGGCTAGAAGAGAAAAAAACCTGCATTTGGGCACTTAGTATTTGTTTATTTAATTAATTCCTAGGGATGACATGTCGTGTATCCTTTCATTAAACCAAAAACTAGTGCTAAATAAAAAGGCCGAGTTAAAAAATAATAATAATAATTTTGTACAAGTATATTTTTTAGGCCCCTGTCTGGCTAGATTTTGATACAAGGTTTTAATCAAATTTGTTGCCATTACGCAGTGATGTGTCAGCGAAGGAGCAGCGATTATTGACTAAATTCTATAAAATGATCAATGTACCCTTGAACATTTAATTATGTATTCTGCAAATAGGGACATTTCTGTCTTTGGATCATTGTTGAGTCAATAATGATTGCACACATGGGACCCACCTTTGTGTCCAAGGTCAAAAAATGGATTAAAATCTACACAAAATTGCTTCCAGAAAGCAGCTGGATTGTAAAAAGTATTCGTTTAAATATAAGTATGTTATTTATTCAAATATTGTTCGGATTGCAACACAAAAAAATTAGTCGCTTGGGGCTTCAAAATTCTTAGAGCCGGCCTTGCTCTCAACTTATCTGATGTGAATTTTAGATCGGCAACAATAAGGTGTATGATAATAGACTTTAAATCCAAATATTAATAAATATCAATCACTAATAAAAGTAAGGTGTCATTAATAATTTACCGTATTGCTGGACGTTCTTCCATCAGCAACATTTACAGCTGCCTCAACCTCAAAGACTGAGTTTTTGTCGGCAAGCTTACGATTCATGACCAACCGGGTGGACTTAATGTCTTTCGCCAAACTTCGAAGCTTTGGGAAATTACGGATTGTACAAATGACTTCGTTAAACTTACATCTAGATTTTTGTGAAGCTGCCAGGGTAACATATTTCTCCACAGCATCTTCAGATTGATATATCAAACCTCTTATTTGTTTTACAAATTCTTTCTGGTGTAAATTCATGTTTGGGTTTTGTGTTTTGTCCCGAAGGAAGGCTTTGCACAAAGTCAGATCATCGTGTAGCAATTCCACCTCACCCTTCGCACCACGAATCAGATCAACATTGTAAACCAGCAGCTGCTTCAAGTTTCGTAGCAGAAATTCTACAGCAGCATCAGCCATCTCTTCTTCAATAATTTCTTGATTACAAGAAAATCACCTATAGCAGCTATACCAATTACATTACATGGTATGAATATGGAAAAGATTTAGACATTGGAACGCTGATAAATGCTTTCTCTATTAAGGTCGTTTCGGTCAAATTCGTGATCAAGAAAGGCTCAATTATTGACATAACTGCCAAAAGACAGCCAATACAGATGGGGTCCGCATTTTTGGAAATATGTAATTTCACGTGGAGCCACCTCCATGTGAATTTTCTATTTGAAAATTCTTATTGACATGTACAATTGAGGCTAAGTCATTCTTTAATACTTTTTCTGAACCATCACCACCAAATGTAAATTTTTTATTCGAGTTAATTTCACAAACGGTCACTGAAGTTACGTCAAAATCACAAAACGACCATTGAAGTTTAAAACTTGCACTAACGGTCATTGAAGTATCATCTGGTTTCAGTAATGGTCACTGAATGACCTTTTTCATTTTAATTGGAACTTAATGGACCAAAATAGTTGAAACTTGAACCTTGAAGACCCAAATCACAAATTTCCCCCCAAAACCATTTCTTTTTGGCGGACACACCACATGAGAATGGAAGCCGATTTTGGGAGGGATTAGGGTGAAAATCATGCTAATATCATCCAATTAATTCTTCATAATCCTTAGCTTGAGCTTCCAATCAAGAACCCAAATAATCAAATCCTCTTTTCATGGTATTTTCCAAGAAATTCAAGAAAATGGCAAAAATAGTTTGAATTTGATTCAAGAAAAAAATCCATTTGATGAAATGAATTCTTTGGACCAAATTTCCTCTTCCCAGTTTGAGAATATGTCCTTATCGCATTCAACAAATGTTGAGTATTTTGTTTTAGAAGTTAAAACAAAGGAAGACCAATTCCCTTTTGACTGTTTTTCGGTATATGGAAATTCAATTCTGCCTGAGATTCATGATGGTGCTGTTGAATCTGTAGTGAAGTTCTTGCAGAGGAGTTATAGCAGCAATACTTTCGAAAATAAATCGAATTTTCTGTTTCAGCCTCGATTTGATAATCCTTTTCAATCTCCAAATTTGCAAAATGAAATGCTGAATTTCCTAGAAGGCAGTTTCTTTTCTGGTCAAATGAGAAGGGTTTGCAGTTCTGGAGATTTACAGGTCAGTTTGCTTCAATTGCAGAATTTTTCATAAATATGGCAACTCTGATAGGATATCATGTTAAACCATAACTCCAACATTCGGCCACCATAGCAACCAGACCAACATACCCTCTTGAAGTCCTCAATGCTCTCTTCACAACCCACCCAACCACTGGTCGTAATCTCGTCGGAATTGGCCGGAAAATCTTACCAAAGTGGGTTGCCCACGCACAATGAAACAACCAGATTTTGGAAAATTTGGAGCCGCCACTTTTGGACCACCATAACTCCAACCTCTGGCCACCTGGCCACAGACCAACATGAAGCCATTAATGCCCTCTTCACAACCCACCCAACCACTGGCCATAATCCTGTCAGAATTGGTCGGAAAATCGTGCCAAAGTAGGCTGCCCACGCATAATGAAACGACTGGATTTTGGATATTTGGAGCCGCCACCTTTGGACCACCATAACTCCAACTTCCGGCCACCATAACTTCAGTGACCGTTTTGTGATTTTGGCGTAACTTCAGTGACCGTTTGTGAAATCCTTTTTTATTCTCAATACTTAAACAGGAAGTTGCGAGGTTAATTCATATTAGTGCCCCATAAAAAATACAAAAAAATTAAAATTAAATATTGCAAGCAGATCAGTTTTGGGAGACTTCATAACTAAGGTCATGTTTGATTGCACTTCAATTCCATGTAAGGTGGAAATTAAATTCCATTTTTCATATTTTTGCATGTTTGATTGTCCAAATTTTTCATGAAATTAATTTTCCATCTTTCACCCACATGCTAATAATTTTCTGCAAAACAAAGCCTAACGAATAGTATTCGGTATATTAATTTTTTTTAATTTGACAATTGGAACAAATTCTAGACCCAATTGTTAAAAAAATTATCACTTTAATGAACAATTTTCATGAAAAATAAAGCCAAACGAATACTAAACGATCCAAAATTTCAATATTTTCTAGTGAAAGATTATACCAATTAAACACAATTAATTGACAATTCCTAATAAAACAAGTTCTAGGTAATTCCATTACTTGGAATTCATTTTCTTTCCATCCAAATTTCATTATTGCAATCAAACGGCCCCTGAGTTTCATGTTCAATTCATGGACAGCGATTGACCTCCTTAAATTCAATTGAGGAAGATTTTTTCAAAAGGGCCTTTTTGCTAGTTAAAGTGAAAAAAAAAGGGGGGGGCTTTATTCTAATTTTTTACTTTATGAAAGGTCATTTCTGTAGTTACAAGGACTATTTTGTTATTTTAAAAATTTACCTTCTTCTTGCTCATTGGTTCTACATATACTGCAAATACTAATAGGCCACGTGGTACATCACATAACCAAGTAGATCGCCTTCAAATATAGCATCGGAGCAGTACAAGAGTTAGCCATAATTTTTATATTTAGCCCTTGTTTGATGATCATGAAAAAAATATTTTGGGAAAAATAAGTTTTGGAATATTGAATTTTTGGAGAATGTGTGGTTAAAAAGTAAGAAAAAATTTGGATTTACATACAAAATATTTTATTATGAGAATGTGTAATCGAAAATGAATTTTAGAAAGGGAAAAAAAAAAAAAGGAGCTTCTAGAGAATGATATATAAACAAACAAGGGCTTACTCTAGAACTGCTATTTGTAATTAATAATGTGTGATTGAAAATGAATTTAAGAAAAAAAAAAAAAGAGTTTTTAGAGAATAAAAATTAAACAAACAAGGGCTTACACCAACCATTTGTAATCAAAGATGTCACGTGTACATTCATTTTATACATTAAGCTCTTATTTTTTCAAAATAAAATTATCTCTTTTTTTTAATCACATTCTTCAATAAAATATTATTACATGCAACCTAAAAAATTTTCCTTTATTTTTAAACACACATTATTCATCAATCTACTATTCTAAAATTTTTAAACAAAAAAATAGGATTTAGGGTAAAACCCTGAATTTGACATTCATGATGTGTGAAAATCATGACCATTGATTTAAACAACACTTTCTTTCAAATTAATGTCCACGATTTTGACACATAAAAGAATGTCGAAGTTGTTGTACAAAAGGAATCTGCAACTAATTTAATTCATTTGTAATAGTCTACGAGTGAAAAAATTGAACATGTTCAAAATGCTATGACAAAGCAGTCAAGTCACTCGAAATTCCATGAATTTATGCTTGTGTCATAATAAATTCTTTTCCACTAAAAGAGGACTTCATTCCTTCCGTTTTTAAGATGAGTTGTGCTGCTGTGCCAGGTCTGTAAAAGATCTGGCACAGCCATGTGAGATAGGGTGGGTGGGTGTTTTAACATTTTTATGAGATGGGGTGGGTGGGTGTTTTAACATTTTTGGGGGGTTTTTTTAATGTGTTAGGTCCTCGGGACCCACCTCACGTGAGATAGTCTGTACAAAATCTGTGAACCAAAATCTGGTAGAGTAGAATAATTCTTTTAAGATTCATAACACATACACTATGGATGAAATGAGATTTTTAGTTATTAATTAGCTTAACAGAAACTGAATTAAAAGTAATGAGTATATATTTTGCCTTATTTGACGCCATTAATTTATTTTAATTTTTGTTACATGATCATTTTCAACCACACATTGACACAATAAAATATTCTATACGTAAATCCAAAACTTTTTTCTATTTTTTAATCACACATTCTTCTAAAAATATTATTCAAGCATGTTTTATTTACATATAACAGTAATCATATCAATATAGTTTGATAGGTTGCATTACTTTTAGATGTAGCGGAGTGCTTTTAAATAATTAGTTCATGACGGCTACAAAATTGTGATAAACAATTTAAAATTGAGGTTAAAAAATTTCTTAACACGTCAAAAAATATCCATCGTATTTGATAAACATAAATAAGAGGATGTTTGTAGAAAAAAATATTACTTAAAAGTAATTTTAATTCTTCTTAAGCTATACCAATTTCATTGGAATGCTGATAAATGCTTTTTCTGTTAAGGTTGTTTCAGTCAAATTTATGATCTATAAAAAATGTGTGACGAGCTCAATTATTGATAGAGGTGTCAATGGGCCTAGCTGAGCCGGCTCGGCCCATACCCACACGAGCTCGGCTCGTGCGAGCTTGTGGCACGTTGGGTTTTTGGCGAGCTCGGCTCGTGCCCGAGCTCGCCCAAAACAAGCCGCTCGGTTCGCCGGCTAGTCATTTTTGACTTTTTTTTTAACTAAACCTTAAATTCAAAAAATATATGTGTACACATTTTTCTTTTGTTTTTTTAAATATACATTTTCCAAAACATTTATAATTTTTAAAATAATAAGAACAAAATTTTATTTGTTGAATTTTTTTTTTTGTTAACT